CATCCTTGACAGTGACCTTCCCTAGTTGCTCATATTCAAACTATCAACAAGGATCACCCACCTTAAGTACTTCTCAACTCTGACACCTGTCCATCACCACTGCAACCTCCCTACACTGAGGAACCACCTCTATCACCCTGACCATTGCAAAAGCCTGGTTTCCCCACAACCATTCCACGCCCATCCAATCCCTACCCCACACAGCAGCAGGGTGATCTTTTCTAAATGCCAGCCTGAGTTTGTCATGTCACTGCTTAAATCCCTTCAATCAATGGTTCCTCCATTGCTTTTAGCATAAAGAACCAAAATCCTTAAAATAGCTGCAAGATCTTACATGATGTGTCCCCTAAAAATGGCCAATTTCATCTTGCAGCACTTGCCATATCTCAGCAAAACTGACCCTTTTTTTTTTTCATCCATCGAATCTATGTTTATTCTCCCTGGAATGATCTTCCTTCTCACTTCATGCTTAGGCAACTCCTTTTTAACCTTTAGAAAAAACCTCAAGCATTACTTTTTTAAGAAAGACCCCCGACCCCCCTGCCCCCCGACCTCCAGTCTAGGTCAGGGTTTTTTCTTAATTTGCCTTTAATAGAAACATGTTTCAATTCAATTTGTAATTATACACTTATATGATTACATAATGAATATCTGTCTCCTCCACTAAATTGCAAGTTTCATGAGAGCACAGCTTTTTTTGGTTGTGCTTATCATCCTACACTTAACATCTAACACAAATAATATGTATAACAATATAAATAATACAGCAGAAATAAATAGATGCCGACCAAGGCAGGCGGATCATGAGGTCAAGAGATCGAGACCATCCTGGACAACATGGTGAAAGCCCCTCTCTACTAAAAATACAAAAATTAGCTGGCCGTGGTGGCACACACCTGTAGAGCCAGCTACTCGGGAGGCTGAGGCAGGAGAATCACTTGAACCTGGGAGGCGGAGGCAACAGTGAGCTGAGATCATGCCACTGCACTCCAGCCTGGTGACAGAGCAAGACTCCATCTCAAAAAAATAAAAAAATAAATAGGTTCCATAGAAAAGTTCATTAAACTGTTAGCTGAGATCGTAAGAGGGAGAGATTACATTTAGCTGGAGAAACTGGGAGAGGCTTTACAGCAGTAGAAGTCAACTTGGCTGCATCTTAGAGCCACCTGGGAACCTCAGAAGATACTGATGCAGGTTCCTCAGAAAATTAAACATAGAATTACCATATGATCCACCAATACCGCTTTTGGCATATATACACAAAAAAATTGAAAACAGGGACTCAAACAGGTATTTGTAAATCCATCTTTATAGCAACATTATTCACAACAGCTAACAGGTGGAGGAAAAAACAAGTGTTCATGAACAAATTAATAGATAAGCAAAATGTGGTCTACACATACAATGGGATATTATTCAGCCTCAAGAAGGAAGGGAATTCTGATACATGTTGTAACACGGGTGAATCTTGAAAACATCGCAATAAGTGAAATAAGTCACGAAAGGACAAATACGATACAATTACACTGATATGAGGTACCTAGGATAGTCAAATTCTCAGATAGAGACAGAACGTAAAACCGGTGGTTACCAGAGGTTGGGGAATGGGGGAGGTGTTGTTTAATGGGTAGAAAGTTTCTGTTTGGGATGATTAAAGGTTCTGGATATAGATGGTAATGATGGTTGCACAACATGCGAAGGTATTTAATGCCACTGTACTCTAAAATGGTTAAATTGGCAGACTTTATGTTATCTATATATTTTAATGTCATTTAAAAGATCCTAATGCCCAGGTCCAACCTCTGATTGAAGGTTCTGATTGAATTGCGCTGGGGTAAGGCTTGGACATTGGGATTTTTTTTTAATTGCCCAGGTGATTTATCGTGTAACCAAGGGTGAGAAACACTGGTTTAGTGAAAAAAATATATGTAAGTTAAACACTTAAAGGCGGTAGGCTGCTTCAAGGAAGGGAATAACATAAGGTGAGGAGACAAGAACATATGTATTGTTTATGAGGAAGAGTAAGTAGCTCAGTTTCACTTAAAAAGAGAGTCTGTGAAGGAGAATTTGGTTCCAGCTCTGAAGAGTTTAGAATGCTGGACAAAGCTGTCTGAACTCTTGATTCTACACTCCCCAAGGAGCCAATGAAGTCTTTTGAGAGAGGGAATAAAATAATCAAAATTATAGTTTAAAACATAAATGAAATTAGTATATCAAAGAGGCATCTGCACTCTCCTGTTTATTGCAGCATGATTCACAATAGCCGAGATACGAAATCAACCTAAGTGTCCACCAATGGAGGAATGCAGAAAGAAAATGTGGTACAGATGCCTAATAGAATGCTCTTCAGTGATTCAAATGAATGAAATCCTATCATCTGTGACAATGTGGATGAAACTAGAGGACACTAAGTCAAATAAACTGGGCACAGAAAGACAAATACTGCCTCATTTCCCTCACATGTGAAATCTAAAAAAGCTGCTCTCGTGGAAGTACAGAGTAGAATAGTGGCTACCGGAGGCTGGGGAAGTTAGGGAGGGAAGGATGGGAACAAGTTGATCAATGAGTGCAAGTTACAGTTAGGAGGAATATGTTAAGGTACGCTATTACATAATAGGGTGATATAGTTAACAACAATGTACATTTCAAAATGTCTAGAAGAGCGAATTTTGAATGTTCTCACCACAAAGAAATGTTGAGTGTTTGAGATGATAGACATGCCAATTACCCTGATTTGGTCATTACACACGTATACACGTATCACAACATCACACCATACCCCATAAATATGTACAATTATTATGTGTCAAATAAAATAAACTAAAGCTTTTTAAAATTATGGTTTAAGAATAATAGCCTGAGGGAAGTTTATTAAATGACCTAAAAGGAGAAGAGAGGTGGAGATCCCCCGGAGGATTTATAAGGAACCAAGTAAGAGGTCATGAAAACCTGATGTGGTTCCAACAGAGAGAATAGAGAGGAAGGAAGTGAAGTGAGAGGTTATAGGCATTGAATCAACGACACTCAGCAAATCAGTCATATGTTTGACTGGTGAAGGCAGATCCATGCCTCTTTCATGTAAGAAACAGTGAAAGAAAAAAGGAGGAAGTCTTCTCTGGTTCACTCAGTTAATTAACTGGAATTAACATAAACCTTCATGCCATATCCTTCCTTTTCAAAGCATTGTTAAAATATCAGCAGTAACTAGTTGTAAAGCTCCCTGGAATCTGCTTAGCCCAGTTAGACAGACACTATTCTTAGCCTAAGTCATGGTATCATGTGTGCCAATATATTGCAAAACCAGAGCTTAAACTGCAATAGGGTGGGAAAAGCACAAGTCACAGCAGCTTCATTCTGTTTCAGAACAGTCACAGGAGAAGGTGACAGGAGGGGCCCCTTTGGTGGGAAGAGCTGAGATCTCATACTCTGTCGCGACAAAACTCAACATTCCTGGGGAAGTCCCCGGACGGCAAGTCCTCCAGCTGCACTCCCATGTGATTTCTCCTCACTTTCCATTATGAGAAATGTGTGACCATCAGCTAAAGACTTACAGGACTGGTTTCTTCACTCTGAAAATTGCACCTCTAGATTCATAGACCCACCTTTACTCTGTCCCCTGTGATCCAACTGATGTACACAAGCACACTGTTGAAAATGTGTGAAGAAATTCTGTAGTCCAGTTTATGAATAACTAAGTGAAATCACAAGTAAAGTGACACATTTTTCAGTAAGCACCTAAAATCTCTTCTGCACTCCTACAGGCATCCCTCCTTTAAGGTACCTGGGCACATCTCTCTAAGCTCTGACCTCCAGGTGGACAGTGGTCCCTCCTCACCCTCCATTTCTCCCACTTCTTGAGTCAGACTTAACTTCTCCGCTAACCTCCTTCACCCCTAGAGAAACAGAATCTTTTCTTGGCTAGGGACCCAGGAAAAATTGCTTTGACTTATGGTTATGGTTGCTATCCCAGCATCTCTAGCCACGAAAAATTGATATTCCCAAATATCAATTCTTCCAGGTACAGGTTCTTAATCCATACTTGTTTCCCCAGCAGGGACGTTTCCATCATTATCTCCTGGGGACTTTTCACCCCTGACAGCCCAGCTTGGCTTTCCCATTTTCTTTTTACCTCCTCTCCTTCCTCCTCTTTCACAGGCTGTTCTAATCAGCCATTCCCTTACCCTCTTCACTCTGATTAACTAAACTCATCTTCATTATATTTCAGAAGTGAAAAATAAGGTGTCCTTTACATGTCAAATTTCATTGCATGCTGTTGCTGTGGTCCTAAGACAAGAAAGATGCTGAGGCTAAATTTGTGCTCCACCAGAAAAAATATTATGACAGATGAGTGATGTCTGCTACAGGTGGAGATGGGTAGGTGGCAACATACGTATTCAATAGTGGCATGATTTTCCCACCATCTTAGGGTCAGACACCTTGGACAGGTATTACAGGACTACTTTGTCTTGCCCTGCCCCACTCTAGGCTGGGGTTGCCCCTAAATCTACAAAAGTTTATCTGGAATAGGTGTGCTTGTGTTAGTTACCATGAGCAATATGTGGTAAATAAACTGTTTCCAGAAAGGGAATATTGATAACAGAATGGAATTCACACCTGTGGTACACAATGAGGGTCTCTGTATTAATCAGGGTTCTCTAAAGGGACAGAACTAATAGGATAGATGTATATACGAAGGGGAGTTTATTAAGCAGTATTGACTTACATGATCACAAAATGAAGCCCCACAATAGACCATAGGCAAGGGGAGGTGCAAGGAAGCCAGTCTGAGTTCCAAAACCTCAAAAGTAAGGAAACCAACAGTGCAGCCTTTAGTCTATGGCTGAAGGCCCAAGAGCCCCTGGCAAACCACTGGTGTAAATCCAAGAGCCCAAAAGCGGAAGAACTTGGAGTCCGATGTTTGAGGGCAGGAAGCATCCAGCATGGGAGAAAGATGAAGGTCGTAGGACTCACACAGTCTAGTCCTTCCATGTTCTTCTGCCTGATTTATTCTAGCTGCATTGGCAGCTGATTAGATGGTGCCCACCCAGACTGCAGTGGGTCTGCCTCTCCCAGTCCACTGACTCAAAGGTTAATCTCCTTTGCTAACACCTCCAACGACACACGCAGGAACAATAATTTGCATCCTTCAATCCAATCAAGTTGACAGTCAGTATTAACCATCATAGTCTCCATGCTAAAAATGTCCCCTTTCCTTTCTGATTCTGCAGCAGTAGAAGCTCACCCTGGCTGGGATCGGTGCCAAACAGTCTGTGATGAAGGAGGGAAGTCTCATCACATGGCTCTGAAAACTGGAGCCGAAGCTGGTGAGCCCACGGTAGTTTGCCAGAAAATGAGGTCCAAGTGGCACGTATAGGTGAGGAGGATCTGAGATGAATGGGAGGACTCTGGAATTAGGAAATGAAGCCAAGGTTTTCAAGAACACAAGAGAAAACAGGGTTTTAGAAACAATAACTAGGTGGCTCTTCCATTTCAAGAGGCAAGGGCTGCAAACATCTCTTTTGCCTTTATTCGAGTGGACACCTAGCAAGTAGAGTCTACGATAAACTTCTCTTCCCAGTAAGCCAGGATACAACCCATTATCAGATGGGAATCTGGCTGCCTAGCTTCTGTTCTCAGGAGTGCCAACGGCTCTCTCTCTAGCTTCCTTTCAATCACTACAATGTAACAGGGTTCCAGAGCTGGGCCTCACTGCTCAGGCCCAGGAAGTTGAGATCTGCCTGAGCATAGTCAAGGGGCCAGCAGGGACCTGCTGCCCTGATCATTGCTCATTAAAGCCCAGGGGGTTTCACGGGAGCATCTCATAGGGTCAGCTGGTGCACAGATCTATTTGGAAAGACTAACCTCCTTGAGCTGCTGGGCAAATAAAGGCCATTCTTCACAGGGAAGGAAGATTGGGAAGGAAATCCTGAAGGGAAAGGGTGGAGGGGTAGAGGTACAAGAAGTACAGGCCTGGTGTGAGGCCAACAGTTGAGAGCGGAAAGAAAAGGCTCTCAAGGGTATCCCGGGGAAGGAGGAGTCAGGTATGTTTCCTGCTCAGTCCCTTTGGGTTTTGTGCCAAAGTCTAAGGAAGCAGAGCCTTCATGAGAAGCAAGGCCCTTAAAAACAAAGGAACAAGCAAAAGCTCTGTTTTTGTTTTTTTTTTTTTTTAAGTAGAGACGGGGTTTCACCATGTTAGCCAGGATGGTCTCGATCTCCTGACCTCGTGATCCGCCCATCTCGGCCTCCCAAAGTGCTGGGATTACAGGCTTGAGCCACCGCACCCGGCCAAAAGCTCTGTTTTTAAAGAGGAAAGAGTGCAAACAAGCCTGACCCTGTGGCCTTCACATAGAGAAAAATGGACATGGAAAATGTTTGTTCCCACTTCGTACAAGGTCTGAGGTACAAAGTGGGAGAGAAAGGGGATACAACAGCAGAGGTGGCTCCACTGGCTCAGAAGTAGCAAAAAAAGCCACTACAGAGCCCTGGTGGGGCCCACTCACAAGTGGGAGAGGACTCAGGACAGCGGGGAGCCCCGTGGGAACTCCTGGGAAAGGCTGGGGCACAGAGCAAGTGGAAGAAGAAGGCGTTCACAAATAGCAAGTCATCCTCAGCTATCACGGCCTCAGGAAGTGGAGCCATGGTTTCAGAAGGGACTAAACTACAGGTGGCTTTAGTGTGACCTTACTGCATCCCCACCTTTGTGTGAGAAATCTGAATGACATCTAAATCTAGAGGTCTTAACTCAGGCAGTGGCTTTCACACTACATTCTGAGAGGCTTTGGGGTTTCATGGGTGGCGCACAGTGAGACATGCCAGTTGCATACATATAAGGGCTGGCCTAGGACCTCCCAACTCTATCTTTAAAAAAAAAATTACCTTTTTTTGTATGACAGCTCCTCATTTTTTCCTCTTAGAAAGCTCACTCCTGGAATGCTGACTCCCAGAATCCAGCCACCATGCTGTGACAGGCTCAAGCCACATGGAGAGGTCACTTATAAGCGCTCTGGTCAACAAGAAAATGAGATTTTAAAAACAATTTCTGAATGAATAAAACAAATTAAAAGAATATAGAGCTAATATAAAATTAAAACAATAAAAACTGGTGAATATTAAATTACTGACAGTATTACTAATAAAAAAAACTATATAGGAGATATATCTTCTATTTTGTGGTTTTTCAATTCAGATACATCAATTCTTCTTATATTGGATTATGTTTATCTACTACATATATTGTCTCCTATATAGTTTTTTATTTGTAATACTGTCAGTAATTTAATATTCACCAGTTTTTATTGTTTTAATTTTATATTAGCTCTATATTCTTTTAATTTGTTTTCTTCATTCAGAAATTGTTTTTAAAATCTCATTTTCTTGTTGCCTTACTGATTTGATATTTTTATTCAAATTTAGTGAGAAATGAGTGTGATTAATATGCTTCTATTGGCTTGAGTTAAATTTTTAGGGGCGAGTGTGGTGGCTCACACCTGTAATCCTAGCACTTTGGGAGGCCGAGGCAGGTGGATCACCTAAGGTCAGGAGTTCAAGACCAGCCTGGCCAACATGACAAAACCCTGTCTCTACTAAATATACAAAAATTAGCCAGGTGTGGTAGTGCACACCTGTAATCCCACTTACTTGGGAGGCTGAGGAAGGAGAATTGCTTGAACCTGGGAGGTGGAGGTTGCAGTGAGCCAAGATCATGCCACTGCACTCCAGCCTGCGTGATGGGAGTGAGACTCCATCTCAAAAAAAAAAAAAAAAAGTGTTAGCTAGGTTAGGCTTTGTGTCTTCTGCATACTATAATCCCTTTTTTCTTTTATTTTCTTCTGCTCAGTGGTTTTTCTTTTTTTTTTTTTTTTTGGTCAAAAGGTTATTTTATTGTATTATTTTATTTATTATTAATTACACTTTTTATTTTGAGATAATTTTAGATTCACATGTGGTTGTAAAAAGTAATACAGGGAAATTCTATGTATCCTTTGCCAATTTCCCTCAATGATAACATCTTGTAAAACTGTCATACAACATCAAGACTAGCATATTGACATTGATACAAATCTTACTCAGATTTTCTCCAATTTACTTGTGCTTATGTTTATGTGTGTGTCTGTGTCTGTGTGTGTGTGTGTGCTTGTATTTAGCACTATGCGATTTTTATTGCTGTGTAGGCTGGCATTTTACTACCGAAGTCAAAATACAGAATGGCTTCACCACCATAAGGATATAGTAGGTTGTCCTTTGTAACCATAATTGATTAATTGGACATTTTATATAAATGGAATAATGTAATACACGGTCCTTTGTAACTGGCCTCTTCCATTTAGCGTAATGTTCCAGGGTTCATCTATATTGTAGCACTTTCCACTACTTCATTCCTTTCTATTGCTGAATAACATTTGACTTTATTGATATACCATATTTTATTATATATTCATTAGTTAATGGACATTTGAGTTGTTTCCACTTTTTGGCTATTACAAATAATACTGATATGAACATTCATGTACAAGTTTTGGTGTGGTCCTATGTTTTCATTTCTTTTGGGTTGATACCTAAGAGTAGTGCTGCTGGGTGATATGGTAACTCAATGTTTAACTCTTTGAGGAACTCAGTGTGTTCTAAAGTGGTTGCACCACCTCACATCCTCAATCGCAGTGTACCAATTTCTCCACATTATCAGTTTGTTGTTGTTTTTTGAGACAGGGTCTCATTCTGTCACTCGGCCTGGAGTGCAGTGGTGCGATCTCAGCTCACTGTAACCTCTGTGCCTCTCGGGTTCAAATGATTCTCTTAGCCTCCCGAGCAGCTGGGACTACAGGTACACCACCACACCCAGCTAATTTTTGTATTTTTAGAAGAGACGGGTTTTTGCCATGTTGGTCAGACTGGTCTTTAACGCCTGGTCTCAAGTGATCCGCCCCCCTCAGCCTCACAAAGTGTTGGGATTACAGGTTTATCTACCACATATATTGTCATGGCAATATAACAAAGAACGGAATGTGAGAAAAATTTAATGAGCCCATTTTCTGAAACTGCAGGTAGTATGAAATTAACAATGAAATATCAGTAGTTTAGGGGATACGATACAGATATTATCAATCAGCAATTACTTTTGTGTCCAGAATTTTACCACAACCCTCCATAGCCCTATAAATATGTCTCACTTTATGGACAGAAGTTCAATGCTCAGTGAGGTTAACTTGCTCTGAATCATACAGGTAGGCCCATAATTTGAACTCTGTTCTACCTAACTCAAGACCAATTTTTACTTAACAAACCATGTAATCTTATGTCTAGATGGTGAAATTATACATGGTTTCAATTTTCTTCTTTTGGCTTATTTTTTTCTAAAGTTTCAACAATAACATATGCTGCTTTTGTGATTTTTTTTTAAAAAGTAGGAATCTTAAAAGATTCACACAAAGGTTATTTTTCATAGGAGCAATATATAATCTCTAATCTTTGGAATTTTAACTTTCATAATGCCAGGATAGTGGTTGAAACTGGTTATTTTTCTCACCTTTTTACTCTTTTTTTTGTGGGGATGGGGCAAGGGAGAAGTAGGTTAAATACAAAATACATTCAGAAATAATAACAACAAATTCAGAAATTAAACTGGCTGGGTTTTACTAGTCTAGACTGACACAGTCTGTTTTCTGGAAATCTGTCTAAGCCTTCTGTCTTTTTTTTTTTTTTAAACTGTTTGAATAACAGTTAAACACACACACACACACTGCCACTGCTTCCACTTGGCACGGTGAGGCTGTATGCATTGAGGCAATGGAGAGATCCAGGGCTCACCCTGATCCAAGGTAAATGCCGCAGGGGCAGGCAAAAGTCTTTCCACATAGAATACACCCATCATGAGTCTGGTCAGAAATAAGCATCCTCTGGAAGGAGACAAGATGCAGACGTGCGATGACAGACTCAAATGGGCACGTTCAAATCTTTCACCAGAAAAACACCCTCTGTCTGTCAAGTTCCTTGAACTTTGAGTTACTGGCTAAGGTGCCAAGCAAAGGGCTCGGCCAAGTCCTGAGCAGAACTCCTTTCCTCTCCAAAGAGCCAGTAAGGAATCAACGATGAAGAACCTGCCAATTTTCTGTCACTTGGAGAGTTTCCAAGCTTAGGATCCTGTTCAAGGAACCAAAGTCCAAGAGGCCTGTGTAAGAAGAGCAAACAGAATTATCTTAACTCTTACAAAATATCACTAAAATATGTCGGAAATGCTGTGAGGAAATTACATACTTTTAATTTGTCAGGTCAGCTAAAGTGGGTGGTTAGTAGAGAAAAGTGATCTTGTGAGCTGGCAAGTTGTTCTTCCATTCCTCCTTCCGTGTATTTGTGTGGGGTAAGTCATTTTAAACAATTTCCTCTGACTTGGAAGTTTGGAAACATAATGGAATTCAAAACACAGTGTTTTATTTTTTTTCTTGGTGGTTGTTGTTCCTCAGAAGTCAGTGAGGGAGGAGAGAGTGGGAGGTGGAGAGATTTAATGTCCCAAACAGATTTAAAAACTGAAGTTTAAGAAAATTTCCCTCCCACATAAATAGGATTTTTCATGGTATAGGGCTGTTTGTGGTTCTCTCTCAATGCTCCAGGTTTTAAAGGGCTACTCTTTAAGTAACCTCTCTGACCGTGTAAATAATGAGACAATTGCAAGAAATCGTCTTTGAAGAAGTGATGATTTTACCAGAACAGGAGCTCAAATAATCTCATTGCAATATTTTGAAAGATTGAAAGAAATAGGCTTTATTTACTTTCTTAGACCAAAAAAAAATCAATTTTTGAAAACAAGAAAAAATAACTGAATGCTTAATAACCAGAGAGCCCTTTGTAACTTTGGTCACGGTGAATGGATTAAATGAACTCTCACCTCATTTGTAAGCAGAACTTAAATTTCTTCCCTCACCTGTTGTAGAGGGAAGGAGAAAGTGGCTGGTGAAACGAACGTCCCTGGAGTTAGTTTTCCTAAATCAATGGTCCTTGAGATCTTTCCTTAACTTTCAAGCTATCCTGGACATTTTTTCTACGGCTGTGGTAAGTTACAACTCGAGTGTGTGCGCGTGTGTGTGTGCGCACGCGCGCGCGCATGCGTGTAGAAAGAGGAACTTCTCTGAAAGAAACAACATGGTTTGCAGAGATAAGCTTCATCTAATACAAATACAGAGAAAGATGGTGCTGCTGCTAAAACAAACCCTTTAAGCATCTCAGAGTGAATCACAGAGAGCACATTTCCAATGTCCCACCGGAGAGTTTTGCTTCTTAGAGCTATGGCTTCTCATCCATGTTTCTTTGAATCAATGGTCTTTGCATCATTTGGATCGCTTTCTCAGAAGAAAGGGACAAGTTATACCACGGGGCAGTCAAGTCTCTACTTTTATTTGTGAGACCCAAATACATGCTGATCTCCTGTGCTCTCATCTCTATGTTTAAGGAGTACCAGTCCAGCTGCCAAATAGGAATTAAAGAGGATTTGAATCTATACTTCCCTCTCCCTCAGGGGTTCTAATCAAGAGCCATCAAAGCCTCTACCTCCTTTTCTGCCAATTCTCCCCTTACCCCTAGGTCTCCAGCAATCCCCAAGAGCCTCTAACTTGTAAAATCCAAAATTCCCTCTTCCAAAACAGTCCACACGGCTTCTCTCTGCTCAGCCCCCTGGCCTACCTTCTCTCCCCTTTTTGTGATATAGATCATCATTGCCACCCTAAGCCATTAGCCCCATTCACTCACTTCCTTTCCATCAACCTTTCCATTTCTCTGGTCTACCCTCTTCCATTCTCCCAATTCTGCCTAATAAACTGCCCAGGAACCCAACTGGCAAGGACTCTCATTTAGTAGTTGGAGACCGAGTTGCAGAAGAAAATGTATGCATGAGGCAAGGGCTTGGGATAAAGGAATCTGGACACCTTCACCTATAAACAACTCCACCCACCACACTTGCAAGACAGAAAAACAGCTTGTAAACCTAGCTGATAACTGTATTTTCCCCCAGCTTCTAGTGCACATATCAGGGTTTCTTTAGCCCTAGCCTGCTGCAAATCTGCATTTTATTTCCCTTTTCTAAGGGAGCATTTGCTAGAAAGGAGTTTCTAAGCACCAAGCCTAGACAAGGAGCAAGGAAGTAGATAACTATGAGCTGCAAGGGTCTGTGGCAGCTCATATCTTATTCCCTGTCTCTTCTCCCTTCTATGTTTTGACTCCAAGAATTACAGCTTTTTCCTGTGTGCAGTCCATAGACCTCACATCTAGCCTATCATGGTCAGAATATTGGCAGGTGAAGGAGGGTTGAGGGTGACATGAAAATGAGAAGTGTCCCACAGAGCCATTGTAGGGTGCACTACTAGCTATCAGCTCATTATTCTCTCTCTCTGGGGTCATGCCTTGGAAAGTGCGTATCAAGACTACTCTAGAATCAGAGCTACCACCAGACAAGGTGGGACTGAATATTATAGCCTCCTTTCCTGAAATCTGTTGTACTGCCCAACAAAAATGTCCATCCCCACCAAAGCACCCTGACTACTCTTTTTAATTGCACCCAGGAATGTTTAAAAAAAAAAAAAAAAGAGGAAGGCTCTTGGTGTGAACTCTCTGGCTCTCAAACTGAAGCTTGGATTACTTCACAAATTAGAGCTTGCAAAGTCATGCATGCTGTATTAAATTCATTGAATTTCTTCTTACCACAGAATATCAACCTACCATTGACTTCAGGCTGGTTTTGTGTACACTAGTCCGTTGCTTAGAATTTTATGAAAAGGTTGCTGTATCTCCTTCTAACTTACTATACACATGTATACACGTTTTCCTTCTACACCACCTCTTCCATGTTGCCTACATAATTCCTGCACTCATCCCTCATGTTCTTACCAGCCAGGCCTCAGCTAACTTCTTCCTGAGTCCACCTTTTCTTTGTTTTGGCATTTTACATTTTATGTTTTCAGTTATTTAATAGTTTTAACAATTACTTTACACAGAACCCCGAATTATCCACAAACACCATAGGTACCTCATTTTGAAAAGGATATTTTTGATAAAGATGACTGGCTAAGAAATAAAGCAAGAAAAGCAACACCCAAAATGTGTACCCCAAGCTCATTTTGGAGGTATTTAGTGGACAGTCTCTCTTGAATCCTAAGCAGGCTGGTCATGCTTGGCCCAGAATTCCCAAATAATGATTTGCGTCTGAAATTTCCCATAAGGTTTTGCAATGTTCTATTCATACCTATGACAGTCCAGAACAATACTAATCCAGAAGCGTTTTTAGGTAATTGAGAGTCCACCTTTTCAATCTTGACTTTTCTATCTTCTCCTAGCCTTTATCTCTGCCATTCACCATCATTGACAACAATGATTTGGTGCTTACTATGTAATTTAAGACTTTACCCTATGAGGTATGTGTTACCGTGATCCCTTTTTAAACATTGTGGTAAAATACACATAACATAAAACTTACTATGTTAACCATTTTTAAAGTGCACAATTCAGTGGCACTTAGTGTGTTCACAATATTGCACAGCTGGGTGTGGTGACTCACACCTATAATCCCAGCACTTTGGGGAGCTGAGAAGGGAGGATCATTTGAGCCCAGGAGTTTGAGACTAGCCTGGGCAACATAGAGAGATCTCCATCTCTACAAAAAATAAAAAATTAGCGGAGTGTGATGGTGTGTGCCTGTGGTCCCAACTACTACGGTGGTTGAGGTGAGAGGATTGCTCGTGCCTGGAGGTCAAGGCTGCAGTAAGCTGTAATCATGCCACTACTCCAGACTGGGCAACAGAGCAAGATCCTGTCTTGAAAACCAAAAACACACACACATATACAATGTTGTGCAAGCATCACCACTATCTAGCTCCGGAACATTCTTATCACCCCCCCCAAAAAACCGTATACTCACTGACTATACCTACTGCCCTCCCACCAGCCACTGGCAATCACTAACTGGCTTTCTATCTCTACCAATTTTCCTATTTCTTATAAATTCAATTATATAATGTGATTAAATATCGTATGATTTTTGTATCTTTCACGCAGCACAATGCTTTCGAGGTTCATCCATGTTGTAACAATGTATCAATATTGCATTCCATTTATGGCTGAATAATACTCCAGTGTACGGATATACTGCATTTTCTTTATCCATTCACAAGTTGATAGACATTTGAGTTGCTTCCACCTTTTAACTATTATAAATAGTGCTGCTTTAAACATTCACATACAAGTTTTCATTTGAACACCTGTTTGCAATTCTTTTGGATATACCCACAAAAGTGATATCACTGGATCATATTTTAATTCTATATTCAGCTTTTTTTTTTTTTTTTTTGAGACAGAGTCTCACTCTGTCACCCAGGCTGGAGTGCAGTGGTGCAATCTCGGCTCACTACAACCTCTGCCTACTGGGTTCAAGTGATTCTCCTGCCTCAGCTTCCTGAGTAGCTGGGATTACAGGCACATGCCACCCACCTGGCTAATTTTTGTATTTTTAGTAGTGATAGAGTTTCACCATGTTGGCCAGACTGCTCTCGAACTCCTGACCTCAGGTGATCCACCTACCCAGCCTCCCAAAGTGCTGGGATTACAGGCGTGAGCCATCGCGCCCAGCCTATATATTTAACTTTTGAGGAACTGCCAAACCTTTCCACAGAGGCTGCATCATCTTACATTCTCACCAGCAATGTATGAGGGTGCCAATTTCTTCACGTTCTTGCCAACGCTAGTTATTTTCTCCCCTTTTTTTATAGCTGTCCTAGTGGGTGTGAAGTGGTAGCTCATTGTTCTGTGGTTTGTATTTCCCTGGTGGCTAATGATAAATATTTGTGCATCTTTCCATGTGCTTTTTGGCCATTTGTATATCTTCTTTGGAGGAATATCTATACAAGTTCTTTGCCATTTTTTAAGAGGTAGGGTATTACTCTGTTGCCCAGGCTGGAGTGCAGTGGTGTGATCATAGCTCACTGCAGCCTCGACCTCTTGGACTTAAGCCATCCTCACACCTCAGCCACCCCAGAGTAGCAGGCACATGGCAGTTCCTCAAAAGTTAAGTACAGAGGCTGGGCGTGATGCCTTACGCCTGTAATCCTAACACTGTGGGAGGCCAAGGTGGGCAGATCACCTGAGGTCAGGAGTTCGAGACCAGCCTGGCTAACATGGTGAAACTCCATCTCTACTAACAGTACAAAAATTAGCTGGGCATGGTGGCATGTACCTGTAATCCCAACTACTCAGGAGGCTGAGGCAGGAAAATCACTAGAACCCAGTAGGCGGAGGTTGCAGTGAGCCGAGAGTGCACCACTGCACTCCAGCCTGGGTGACAGAGTGAGACTCTGTCTAAAAAAAAAAAAAAAAAAAAAG